GTATGAGAGTTGTTAGGATAGATGCAGGCCAGTTGGTTTTTGTTCCAGACAACGCTGCTGGTTTAATAGCTATCCAAAGGTACTTAAGTGTTCTGCTCCACTGATGATCATAGTATTTAAACCTTGCTAATGCCGGTCCTCATATTAAAACTCAACAACAGTGAGTAGTGGAATGATTTGAAAAGCTTAAAAGCCAAAGATCACTGAAGAAACAGAACCTGAAGCTACCCCTTACGTATAAATGTAAATCATATCCTGCATTTTAATTAAAGCAATTACGAGAACACTACAAAGAAATGTTAACACGCTTATTATGTGTTAGCAATGCTCTGTACCTTTTAAGAGTACAATTCAGTACTTTGCTTTACGTAGTTAAAATCCTATTCATTCTCCTTAATGAATTACTGTCTTCCCAGCTGGAAATGGTTCTGGTAATATTAAACATAGTGTCTCATAGCCGTTAAGTTTTATTGATGGTATTTTACACACACAGAGATAGTGCAATAAAACTAATTTTCTTCCATGTGCCCCCATTAATATTTTTTTTACTTGCTCCTTTAACATTCTTTACCAAAACAAATCATCTTTCCTTATCATGGTAGCAAGGTTAAACTTAAAAATTACATGGTTCCAAGGGAAGACTACACAAGAAAGATAAATCCACTAAAGGTTACAAACCACATCTGACTCAAAAACTCCCCGAATAGAAAATAACCAGAGACTGGGAAAGTATTGGAAGGAAGTATCACGTGTCTGCCCTGCCCTTATTCCTCCTTACGCTACTGGAGACAGCATATCAGGTTAGACAGACCTTTGTTCTAATAAAACGCAGTCATACTTACGTCTTCTTAAGTCAGCAAATTAGTTTAATCATCTTAAACTTTGTTGTTATTGTTAGAAGAGAATTACTGTTATTCCGTAACACTCATGGCCTAGTAACTTAAACTCAGGTTCCCGAAAGAACAGTAAGATTCCTGGAAACAAGTAACTATATTGCTGGATTAAACGCAAGTAATAAGGTTATCATGCATGAAGTTCACACTGCCACATCACCCTCAACACCATTCTGGAACTAGGTTATGTGCTGGGAAATACCTCAGTTGCAGAAGTTTAGAAAACGCCTGCTGGTGGCCTGGCGAGTTGAACTAGCTGGGAAGTTTTTGATAACAATGTGTTTGTAAAATTCACCATGGTTTATTGAAATAGTTCAAACGAACTGTCATGAGGGGAAACCTTACTGCGTAGGGCCTACATGTAACACCCTGCATCTGGGTGTACAAGGGTTGCAAATCCAACCGCTCTAGTGCACAACTTGTTAGACACAACGAGACACCAGGGAATTCACGACTCTTGAAACTTCCTTTGTTTCTGAACATCAGCTTCCAGGATGGGCTCCCATCTTCTATCAACACTGCAATGAGACCTTTCTTAGGCTAAATGACCCAGGGCATCTACACTCCCAAAGTCTGCTGGCTCCCTCAGCTATCTAAATTTTGAGCACTAGAAAGAAAACCAAAACCAAAAGAAGACAACCTTGAAACAAGATAAAAACCAGCTCTCAGTAATAAGCTAGAAGCTCTGGTATCTCAAGGAAAGGAGCAGTCTGCTTGGCAAAAAAATCATTGGAGAAGGCCAGATACTGAGCAAAACTAGTAACAGTTCTCATTTTTACAACTGAAAATCAGTGTGGAAACTTGCTCACTATGTGCTGGTGCTCCCATGACAGTGTTGCATCCAGCCCAGTGGGCGACACTGAATGGCCTTGTTCACCTATACAACTGGAAGAAGTACTGGGCATTCCTTCTAATATCATTTTTACATACTAGAGCTTCCACCTTTCATTTCACCTTTGAGGAGTGTAAATACTTAATGGAAATGCTCTATTCTTATATTTGATGACCAAAAAGTAAACAGGAAGACACTCTCCTTTTCCCTGCTTGCCTGCAGGGATGGGAACTGGGACAAAGAAGAAAGAGATTTCAGTATTGCCTCGGTCCCACATAGCTTCTGTTTTAGGTTCTCCTTCAGCAATTGCTTCGATCATTCCTTAGAGCTTTTCTAAATGGCAGTAGCAGCATGGTATTGACATGATTTATCTCACTTTTATTGCTCAGTGCTAATGGGATTTAGATGGTGCATGTGTTTTTTTGTGGCACACTGGGATCTGTATCAACACAATGCATTCTATTATTAAAACATCCCAATCTGCTCAACTCCTTATCAAATTCTTTGGGAAAATACTTTACAGCTGCTTCAGTAGGCAATTTATATAGCCAGCTGATCATCTCCATTTGTAGACTTTAGTCTAGCTCACACATAAAAAGCTATCTTAAATTCCAACTTCTGAACACACATACCTAAAGGATAAACAAATTGCTTTGTTGTATAAATTCACTGCACAGAAATCTTGTTTTAACACTTTTTCCACTCATACTGTTATAATACACCCAGAGTCTCCATTTATTGTGTAATTTTAATTTTATCTCTGTACAGTAACAGTCACAATGTACTGTTACACTTCTGAATCATTATATATTGAGTGATGATCTCTGATCTCCTTCCCTTACCCACTTGGCTTCCAGTTAACAATTTATGAGCTGGAGATAGCATGAGGCCAAACCTCAAAATAATCTCATTTATTTTCTTTAGTCATACTTTCAATCTCTATAACTTCCTGGGGAAATGAGTTTCATGACTTTTATTACACTTCATGTGAAAAATACTTCCTTTTAGGTTGGTTACCTGTTAACTCTGTGTGCCCTATTTCTTGCATTGCAAAAAACAGAAAGTGATATGAGGAAGGTGGTACAGAAACTATTGCAATTTTATAGACTTCTATCATCTTGCTCTCCTCCCTTCCTGGCCATTATTGCCTTTTCAGGCTAAAGAATACTTACATGAAAGCTAAAAAATGACTGAATACCAAATTCTCCCCTAATGTACTTTTTTGTGTGTCTTCAGAGCAATTAGGCAACAAAGTAATCAAAGCAACTCCAGAGTTTGGGCATATGGGTGCGTTAGGGCTCCCTGTTAAGAGATTTACTTCTAAGGGTTTGGACAGGACTGCAGAAAACAGAACCTTTGAAAACCAGATGACGTAAAATAAAGGTAAGTCTTAGAAAAAAGTACTCAAAAGTTAGTGGCAAAGTTATATTAAATTCTCTTGTGAAAATTCCAGAAACAAATATCAAACACTAATACAATTTCCTACCTTTTGAAATGTAAAATTAAAAAACCCATTAACATGGAAAAGATAACCTGAAAGCCAGCAAAAATTCCATGCATGGAACTAGCTATTTGATCCTTCTCTCATCATCAATCATCTAGTCTTTCTGCAAATGTGATTGTTGTCCTTGATTCCTGCCCTTGACTCCTAAGAAACAAGGCACAAAAGGATTCCTCTTAGCCACCGAATAGTTAAGCATTGACTCCAAATAACTTCCTAAATCCAGTTTATCCATCTTTGAACTGAAAGTGTAGTACGATGCTTTCAAAGACAGCAGGAAGAGACATGTAGCTCAAGGGTAAAGTCAGGAGCCCTTTAGCAAGCTGAAAAAGTTACTGAGTTGCTTGCCAGATCTCCTCTTTCACAAATTCTTTAATGTGCTTTCTTGGCTAATTATCAGTCTGCTCCCTGTATCAAGGCCAGTCCATTTTGAAAAACATGACAAATATTCAGACAGTGCAGTATAAAGAGTGCCTTCTGTAACAATTCTGATGGGGAAAAAAAAAAAGTCAGGACAAAATTTAAGCTACATTGTCAAGCTTGTAAATAGTCCATGTTCTTTGCTCAGTTCCTTTATATCAAGATTTGAAAGAAAAACACACCCACCAAACACAAATACATTCTTCCTCATGCCAGTGTCTTAAGGGGAATTTGTTCACTACGACTAAAAACAAGCAAGCCCTCTTCGCCCCCCTCCAAATGCCTCTACTTTCATCCCTGAAGAACTGCAAACACTAGATACCAGATATGAATATAGACAATGCCTCTCCCCGGCTTTAAAAATACAGAGCCCCTGTCCTGGACAAGATATTAAACAGAAGCTGGTTTTGCCACAAGTTCTGCCAACTTTGTAAACTTGGCAGGTTAAAAGGAACTTAAACTCACATCAATTCTTCAGTAAAGCAAACTAGGCTCATGCCAAAAGAATAAAGAGGGAACACATGCAGACAACTAATTCTGCCACAGTAGTAGTGTCACAAAAATACATGTACCTGTCCACATACGCATAAATAGGTACACATATACATATTGGTGTCAAAATAAAAATATTTCTTCACTCTTTCATTCTCATTACTGTTATCTATCACTTGGACAATAAATTGGCAAACTCATTCTGTAGGACAACTAGACACTTACTCTAAGATACTATAACGCACAGTAAACTTGAATGTACTTACGTCAAAAGAAAGGCATAATGATACACAAATTAATAGTCTGCACCAAAAACCTAAAAGTGAAACTGCTAACTTCCATGAAGAAGGCACTGCTTACTAACTTATAGATGGGCACCTGTAACAATTCTAAAAGATAACTATCAAAACCAGCATGTATGGCAATATCACACCCATGCAGACCTCCAGTAAATGAAGCAACAGAGATGTCACCTAAGATTAAAAAGCATGAAAATCCCTGCAGAGAGCAGTTTGCTGCCTTAGCTTCACAACCCCGCTATCCACAACACAACAGTGTTCACATGAGGCAGACCTTCATTTTGTATCAATAGTATTCTTATTTTTGCCAGATGGCAGAGATTTTAAGATCTAAAAAGGGCTTTAGGTAGGCTGGATAGAAATGAGGACAACAGGGGAAAATTACTTATCAAATGTATACATATAATTTCAGTAAAGTGGTATATAGAACTATAGACATTATTGGTGACATCTTTTTGTCCTAACAAGAACATCTATGTCAACTGTGACACCGCAGCTTCTCTTACCTCTTTGCTGGCATATGATTTTATTTAGAATACAAAAATAACAGAAAGCCACCTTACCTTTTTCTTCATCTATTCGAAAAACTCCTATACCAGATCCATCTCTGATGGAATATCTAATCTCCCCATCTCGTCCTGCATCTTCATCATAAGCAGATACTGTCATTACTGAGGAGCCAACAGGGGCATCTTCTTTTATAAAGCCTTTATCTGCAAATATAGAGAACCGTGGAGGGTGCAAGTTTTCATTCACATCAACTACCTCAACCTCAACGTAACACGTAGAGGATAATGAAATGGGTTTTCCTTTGTCCTTGGCCCGCACAGTCAAGTTATAAAGTTGTTTCTTTTCATAATCCAGTCTTTGTACAATACGTATTGCTCCACTCAGTTTGTCAACATCAAAGGTGCCATCTCCACTGTCCAAAAGACTGTATCGTACTTGACTTGACTGGCCTAAATCAGGATCATAAGCTTCTAGCCACGTAATAATAGTTCCCTCGGGAAGATCTTCTCGAATTTTCACATGATAATTTGAAGGAATAAACTTAGGAGGATTGTCATTAATATCTTCTACAGACACTTTCAAAATAACTGTTGAAAATAATTGAAGTTCTTCAGTAGGTTGGTCCCTAGCCTCTATTTTCAAGAAATACACGTGCTGTTCTTCACGATCAAGACCTCCTACAACTTTCACAATTCCTGTCACAGCATTAATAGTAAACTTGTCTGTATCTGTAAGAAGAGAATATTTCACTTCTCCATTAGCCCCCAAATCTTTATCAGTAGCTTGAATTTGAATTATTTCACTGTTTGGCTCTTTGTTTTCACTCACTTCAACAAAATAGCTGTCTTGCAGGAACTCTGGTGGGTTGTCGTTAGCATCCAAAATTTTTATATCTAAGAGGTGCCAGGCAGACTTCTGTGGTATTCCAAGATCATAGACAGTAATATTCAGAGTATACATATCTTTTACTTCTCGGTCAAGGGGAGATAAAATTTTCAGCACTCCTCTTTCCATATCAACAATGAAATTACTATCTTCATTACCTCCAGAGATAACATACACCAGCTTTCCATTGAAGCCAGTATCAAGATCAGTAGCATTCATAAGTACTATGCTGGAGCCCACAGGTTGGTCTTCTCTTATCTCAATGCTACTGGGGAGAGTACTTCTAAATTGAGGTGCGTGCAGATTCACAGAGTGAGTGTCAAAGAAAACATCCTCAACTTCTCCACGACTGTGCAATTTATTTGCTTGCAAGAGTTTCTCTGCGAGCATTTTGGCAACACCAGTTTCTTCACATTGCAAGTTGACTGGTTTGCGACTAGTAGCTACAGTTATGTTGATATACAATGGTTTTGCAAAGTTTTCTCCATCTGTAGCTGTAATTTTCAAACTGTGAAAAGACATTTTAGCACCTAGGCCATCTATTAGTGACTGTTTGAGTGAAAGTACTCCAGAGTTTGGATTTAGGCTAAATAAATCCAGTTCATTTCCAGATTCAATTTGGTATCTCACCAACTGGAGCTCATCAGCATCAATAGCAGATACTGTTGTTATTTGTTCTCCAACACCAAGATCCCTGGGGATTGTTCCCTCACAATTTATTTTCTCAAATAGAGGTATATTGTCATTGAGGTTATTTAAAATAATAGTAACAGGAACTTCAACTTCTCTACGATATGGTATACCCCAATCAGAAGCTCGAATCCTTAAATTGTAAACCCTCGGCATCAATTCATAATCCAAGTCTTCCGAGGTACTAATAATCCCACTGAAATGGTTAATCACAAATGGCAAAGGATTTAGGTTTGCAATGCTATAGGTCACATAACCATTCTCCCCTTCATCAGGGTCTTTTGCACTAACTCTCATGACACTCGTACCTATTGGCACATTCTCATCGAAGGAGGCTTTATAGGACGTCTGAGTAAATTCAGGAGGATTGCTATTCATGCCTAGTACTTTAATTAGTACTTTTGCAGAAGCTCTTCTGTCACTTGTCACAACTTCAAGTTCAAAATGCGATGCATGTTGTGCTTTTATGGGTTCTAAAGTGGTAATAAGACCAGTGTGAGTGTTTAAATTGAATTTTACTTTGTCGGCTGTATTTTTAAATACATATTTTAAATGTGGGTAACTAGGCAGAGCTTTCACCATCATCACAGGTGTGTTTGGAGGGGCAAATTCACTTATTTCAGCTCTATAGATCTCTTTTTCAAATCTGACAGGACCAGACTTAAATTGTGGTGATGTCACATGAACAACTTTTACAGAAGAAAACTGTGGGGGATCTCCTTTATCTTTAGCTTGAAGGGTAAGGTTGTATCCAAAAGGGTGGTTCTCCCAATCGATGTGACCAATGGCTTTTATTCTGTATTCTTTACCTCCTGGAACAGACCTCACTGTTTTGAACTGTTGAAGCGGATCACCTGCAACAATATTTAATGATGCTATTTCCCCATTTGAACCCTGATCATTGTCCTCTACAGTTACAATTGCATAAGTTGGATCTTTGTCCAATTCTGATGGAGTCAATGTAACAGCTGTAATAACAGGGGCATATTCGTTTGCTTGCTCTACATGAACAGTTAGTTTTGCCATACTGCTTATGCCACTGCTACCATACAGCTTCAGCCCACGGTCCACTGCAAGAATTTCCATTTCGTAACGCTTAGTGTCCGAGTAGTCAAGTCTACCAGTTAGAACTACCACTCCACTAGTTGGATGTATAGCAAACACATCCGTTCTTTCTTTAAAGCTATAGTAGAACTCTCCATTTGTTCCTATATCTGCATCTGTTGCACTGACTCTTGCGATGCTGGTCCTTATTGCTGTGTTTTCAGGCAAAGAAACACTGTAAGATGTTGGAGAAAACAAAGGCCGCAAGTCATTTGTATCCAGTACCTGTATTCTGACCTTCGTGCGCGTTTCAGCATTTGAATTTTTTTCAACTGCCTTAACAGTCAACATATAATGGTCTTTTACTTCTCTGTTAAGGATAGCTGTGTTTCCTCCCTTGGTCCGTATCCTCAAAAAGCAAAAGTTTCCAAGAACATATTCTTCAGCTTTGAACAAGTTCTCATTGTCACCAGAAATAATCTTGTATCTTAGGTCCCATAATGGATTTGTAAGGTAAATGCCCATTTTCACTGGATGCCCAACATAAGTCTTGGCTGCAGAATTCTCATACACAGTGGCATTATACTGTACTTGTGTAAATTGCATCGGTGGAGCATGATGTGGCCTTGGATTTCCTTCACAGTTTCCGAAATGCTGCACCAGCAGCATCAGCAGCAACATCATAGTCAAGTATCTTCCCATGGCAGCAATTACAAAGAAACCCTGAAACAAGAGAGATGTGTTAAGACTTATGACTGTTCAAATACTATTCAAATCACCTTTATGTTTAGTTTAGAATTCATGCTTGAAAGAACACTGTAAGTTAGACATCTAGGTTATATCCTTTTTTGCAGAAAGTTTCATTATTTACAGTAATAGAAAAGCAGATAAATTAAAACTCCTAAAAAATGCCAAGAATCCAAAAATCTAGAAATTACTACCATGACACAAGGGGAACACACAGAGTTAACTTCAGATGAACAACTTCATGAAGCAACACATTAGAAGAAATATACCCGTGCTGTCTCCTATAAGTGAGCAAACTAGATCTGAAGTAATCTGGAGTAGTGAACATTCACTCCATTCCTCTACTTCATATGTGACACCGTCTTCTGATAGAAAGTTCTTCTCCCTCATTTCACTTAGATTGTAAAATGGTTGATGTCCGATGATGTGGAAGTAAACTGCAAGAGTTGGCTTGAAATTACCATGAATTCTTCAAAGTATCCTATAAACACCTGTTCCAAGAGTTATAAAAATTACAAACAGAGAATAGTTCTGTACATATTGTATTCTCTCCAGCTCTGAGTACCCTTATAAGAGTAGTGGATAGCAGTGCATATCATAAAAAACATTTTTATCAAGCATCACTAAGTTGTAAAACTAATGAAGAATGAGACATATTCCTTTATTCCCCTCTCAGAACAGATCTGAAACAAATTAGTACCAAGAGGTACAAGAACAAGAATCTATCAAAATTACTGGAGGAACTATTAAGACATGTTTTTCAAACACACTCCAGAAATGACAGGAAAAAAGCCTGGAACAGCAAGACAGACATGGAGACACACCCTCACTGGCTTTCTCTTTTGAAGAAGTCAGTGTATCATTTCCAATGCCTAAATCCAGGCAAGACTGCGGTAGGAAGAAAGGCAGAAACCTCAGGAACAAGACCTTTGGGACCACCCTCTTCATCTGGGTTTATAGCAACAGTCTTTACTCGCTAAAGTCTCACAGGATAACAAATCAAAGCTTCAGAATGCTTCCTCAACAAGCCCAAGCTTTCAACAAAATCCTGGGGGAAAAGTTTCTTTCCAGCAAGTAGAAAGCAATCTAGCTTTGACTTGATTACTTTGAGTAAGTAGTCCACATTCTTTTCTTTCACCTTTCCCTATACATCCCAAGTATTTTTCCCTTGCCTCTTCTTCAGCATCTTCCTCCCTGGCCAGCCTGTTATTCAACTCATACTCATTCCTAACCGTACTAATTCCTAACTGTACTCTTCCTTCATTCTCCCTGACCTTCTCTCCCACCTTTTAGCCCTAGTTTGTCCCCACTCTATCTTTGGCTGTCAGCCCGTCAGCCTCTCCTCAGTGCCTATCCTCACACTAGTTCTGTTCGTCTCACCTCAAAATGTATCACATTATGTTGTGATATGTGTCTTTCCTCCACTCACATTTTCTCTTACTGTTATTTCTCTCTCCCCTAATTACTACCTGCTCAGGTAGATACACGAAAGATCGCATTAGCTGAGATTCCATGGACTGCCTCTGCCCACTAGAAAGCATTAGAGCAAATTAATCTACTTGTGTCAACAGTTCACTCCAAAACCTCAGAAGCAGCTAATTCAGTCACAGCCATTATTAAGTCAGTGATTTTGAGAAGAGAAGAATTTAAGACTCAGATCCACACAGACTATAGGAAATATTAGAGAGGAGTAGCGAAAACTTAGCTGGTACCCTTTCAGAAGGAAAAAAAAAAAAGTGCATCTGTCTTCCAAATCTAGCAATTAAGTTACATGATTAAAGCTATAACCATAGCAAACAATAAAAAGTGAATGAGCAAACAATAAAAAGTAAATGAGCTTTTAAAAGTATGTCACTAGCTGAAACCACTCGTTACAAGGTCTTAAAGCTGGATGAAGGAAAGGTAAATGAGCATGAGGTTGGAAAAGCCACCATTTCAATGGGTTAACAATATTATTCCTCCCCTATCTGCTCTTCTTCCCAAGCTATGATTTGTCCTGGGAATAAACAGACACTTGGGTCTCCAGGGCTTCATCCCCCTAACATACTGCCAAGTAAACGAACATTTTCATCAAAAAAAAAAAAACCACCCCCAAACAAAACCCCCCAAAATAACCAAAACCCTGCAATAAATAACTGATATCAATACTTCCAAAACTCCAAGCAGTTTAAGATGCCATTAGACTGTCCTAAAAGAGGTGTTAAGAAATTATTACATCATTTTAAAGTAATCAACAGAAACAGGTTCTTTTACTCCATCTTGCTGGAATTTTGGAACCTGCCCATTATCAAAAACTACTTAATGAGCAGATCTTATGCTGATCTGATCGGATCTTTCCCTCTTTTCTTCCTCAGTTACACTAGGGTTTGTTGGTTGGGTTTTTTTTTAATTTATGCTGAAGTCCAAACTCCAGCTTGACCTCCAATGCTATGGCATCCCGTAACTCACTGCCTACACTTATGTTTGGCAACAAGCTGTCTGAAGTGGTGTATTTATTATGTAAAACATTGTACCTGTCTGTATCTTTTACCATTCACTCCTCACATCTCAGGCACATCAGACACATGATGCATTAGACTGCACTAAGATACCCAAACTCCTCATTAAAATTTGAAGTTCGAACACATGTGTGTTTTACCATTATCATAAATATTTTTCTGTGCCATAAAACCTTAAGCACTTTTTCTGCTTTTCTGTAATAACTTCAAGTAGAGTCTGCTCAGAACTGGCAACAGGCAGCCTATTACACACGATGACGCAACTACCAGCAAGTAATCCATTCCTCAGCAGCAACTTCTAAGGTTTGCTGAGTCACAATCGAAAGCTTAAGAGCATCTCTCAACTGAACAGTTAACCATGTGAGATAAAAACAAGTTAGTCATTTCTGTTACATGACACTTTTTCCATCTTGTCATAATTTACAGAGCTACTGGAAACTAAAAAATGTTGATCCAGGCTTATCCAAAAATCAACATAATATAATCTTGATAAACATCTAAAGTGTTAAACAATGCCAGTTGTAAAGACAGTTAACTACTAAGGGAAAGTATGAAAGTGTTAAGATAAAGTGATAATGTGTTAGATATAAACTCAGATGGCTCATTACAGTGAGCCAGAATGACTGAATTTCAGAAACATTTTAGCTAAAGGCTACACTTTGAACTCCTAAATTTTTTATTATCTTTGGAATATGACCAGTTTAGGATTTTCTGCATCCATTTTCAACACATAAGGCAACCGTTTGCTTAACAAGACATCGTAGCCCTAGTTTTATAAGAAGTGCACACCGTATTTATTCTGAAAAGCTACTTTCAAACAAACTTTGATTTCCTATTTGGAAATTTTTATTTATATGCATATCCAGATAATTTTTATTTATACGCATATTCAGCACTGGGATACATAAGATAGTTTTACTACTTAATTACAACGTTAACAAAATTATTAACACATCAACACCATTAACATAATTTGTATATGGGAAAAAATACTAATACAACTAATACAAATATGAACTATCTTCACATTAAACGTATAAGAACAAGCAAAATTTTGGGGCTAGCAGACCTCAAATTGATAACTTACAATTGAAGATGATTTGGATAAGATAGCAGTCGTATAAAAGACTCTTTCTCTTAGCAGTATGTTTACAGTATATAGACTTCAAAATTTATAGTCCGAGATTTGGAAGTTTTAAGCATAAAATACAGAATTTCGTAAATGGCAATCTCAATGCCAAGCAAGCCAACAAAAAAACAGACAAAACAAGCCTATCTTCTACATAATGTATCAATAGGGAGCATACATTGAGACATTTACTCTCCCAGCAATCAAATAAAAGTCGCAGGTAGAAAAAGAACCTAAATCAGGCCACCTAGCCCAAGCCGCAATGAGTCTTAGTCCCACTGCCTTCTCTTTTCCACACGCAAGATCTGCCAGTTCAGTCCAGAAGGACCTACTGTAAGACTAAGCTACATCGTTTACACTAGCAGAACGAGACTCTGGGAGCATGGCCTGTTATACTGCTCTAGAGAAACATCAGAGAGCATTTTGAGGACTAAAAGAGGTTCTCTAGTGCTGTTTCTACAATGCTTGTCTACTGAAATCTTTCACTAACTTTTAACAATTGTAGTGGGGATTCCCCCCCCGACGTGTGCACGAGCCTCTTTGATTTGTAATGTTAAGTTATTAACACTGAAATGTCTCTATCAATCAAAACATCACCTATTTCAAGGTCAGTTTTAATCAGCACATGCAACTGATGCCGTTTGACACAAATGCACTGTGAAAAGTTATTACTGCAGTAACTAAACTGCGATGAGAGGGTTCCTATTGTAGAAGTCTATGAGAGATCATGCGGCTTTGTGGGCTGTAGCATCTGTAGTTACATCTGCTCTTTCAATTGTTTAAAAGCAATTATTTATGTAGTCTGATTGGAAAAAAAAAAATCGGGTTTAGCTGTTTCAACATGCTTACATTTCCAATCAAAAAACTTAACAGCATCTTTTGCTTTTCTGGAAGGGAAGATGTGCAGCTGTTTTGGTATCCAGAAAATTAAACACACGATGAAAGCGTATGGCAATGTTACTTTAGTAAAGCTGGTAAGTTATTCAAAAAATGTACATTGTCACAGAGATTAACATAACAGTTTTAACTTGTGACTAAACTCCAGTAAGTTTTATGCTTGTATTCTCCACATCGTGAGTTAATCTCATGAGATACTCTGATTTATGCGTTTGAGATCTTTGCTGTTAAAAGGAAAATGCAGCAGCTGTATTCAAACAGCACGCAAAGATTCCGAATCAGGAGTGAAATAAAGTTTCACACAGAGAATTTTGACTATTTACCTGTATGTGTGTATCTAATGCTGAACTCAACAGTTGTGCAAGAAAAAGCAGACCTCCAATCTTTGTGAATGAGTTTGATCGAAATTTAACATGGCACCTTAAAGTTTGTGATGACAAAAATCGTTTTACTGAGCTTGAACTCAGTTTTAAACTTAAAAAAATTAAAAGACGTAAATTTTTGGGGGTATAAAAGGATTTTCTGTTTGCTTACTGGCACTGATAGCAGTGATAACTTAGCCATATAAAGTTCTTTTGCATGCTACGTTATAAAACCCAGGAGACTATACTACTGGTACGACTACTAAAGCTCGCCTTCCAGTCTCCTAAAAGTGAGATTTTAGGATTTCACAGAGAACAAAAAGAAACTTTAAAGTGAAATAGTTTTCAGCGCTAAAGTAATTTAACTCACTAAATAGCTGAAAATTTCCGCATGGTTAGACAGGTAAATAGAAAATACACATCTATTACACAGCGTTCTTTTCTTTTGCAGAAAGACAGCAGAGGTGGTGAAAGAATACAGGTAATATTTCCCATGGAACTGCCTAGGAACAACTTGCATGCAAGTAGTTTAAACCGCAGGAAAACCTGCTGTCAGAAGGCAGCATTTTTTAATTTGTTAATGCGTTTCCAAAAAAAAAGTTTACAACTGGGGGATATTATCAGCGGTAAGACAAACTGTCACTTGCTGACACCAAGAGATTAAAAAGCGTACCCTTCAAACAAAGCTTTGTTTTGTTTCAACTGCCGTAAAGAGGAAGAAAAAAAGCATCAGAAGCCGGCTGACGCCTTCAGCCGGGATCTCCGAGAGAGCCGCTGCTGAACGCCGCGTCCCTGCGGACCCTGCCCTTTATCTTCCGGAGGAATCCGGCGAGTAACGCGACGAGGGACGCGGTGTCGAAGCGCAAACAAAGGAAGAAAGTCACCCCAAGGTACTTACTCGCCGCGAACAGCCCCTGCCGGCTTACCAGGGAACTAAGTTTGCAGCGGCCCATCAGAGGCATCCGAAGACACCTTGCCTCCAGG